AAAAAAAATTTTATAAAATTTCATAGAAACTATAAAAAATTTACCTGGTGCAGGAATAAATAATTGAGGTGATGAACTAGCCATAGGTACCATTGAAAATGTTGTTATATTTGAAGATGTTACATTATTTTTTGCACCACCTGGATTCATTACATCTATGTAATTGGCACGCATACTTCTACCTCTGGGTAATTTAAATTTGTTCACAGTGGATTCATCTGCTAGCAAAGGTGATTGAGATGATTGAGAAGATTGAGATATTTGTTCAGGTACAGGTGGTCTAAATCCCATATCAGAAGTTTTTGGAGGAGGAGCTATTGTAGCCGAATTATTATCTCCATCTTCGTCTTTATTCATCCATTTTTTAGCTACTGGATCCCAAACGATCTGTTTAAGAAATAAGCGCGATATAAATATTATTCTCCTTATTTAAATAAAGGGAACACAAACACAATTTATATAAAAAGAAAAAACACTACAGGGCTCAAGTAATTTCATTTGTATAATTTTGTGTTAGACACGAAAATTGGAATGTTAAGCAAGAATATATCAATAATTCGTTAGCTGTTAATTAACCGAATATTGAATTATACTGCCCTTTTTCTCTTCCATCATAAAAGACGTCATAATTACCATAAGTACCCGCGTGAGCCCTTAAGCGATAAAAAAAATATAAAACCAACTATCGTAATTTTTTATTAATCCATGAAAAATGTAATGTTTTGAAAAATTACCGTCGGGTTACTGTCATCTGGTAGAATCATTTGATTTCTTGGTTTTGGAGCAAGTTTGCTAAAGAGTCCACCAAACCAAGAACCACTGTTAGAAGATTTTTTCTCAATTGACTTTTCTGAAGTTTTTTTAGTTGAAGTTACAGGTTTTGAAGTTGATTTTGGAGTCTCGAGAGCATCCAATTCTTCCAACGGGTCGTACTGTTTTCTCGTTGACGGCGTCATCGAAATCGTCGGTTGTGATGACTGAAATAAAGGATACAATTCATCATCGCAAAGTTGCTCTAGCAAAGTCGATCACTGTTTACTACAATAGTATAAGTACATGTTTCTTATACATTTATTATACTTTGAATGTAGTTTTCTTTTCACAAAAATACCTAACTATCACAGTAAATAGCGAAGAACTTTGCTTACACATTTATAACTTATATAAAATATTTTTTTATAAAATAATTATATCTAGAGGCACATCTTTTAGAAATTCAGAAAAGTCAGTAATATGAGAAATTTTATTACATATTTAATATCAACAGATTTGTATACATAAATAACATCTAAAACAAGAACATATTTTATAATCATGTTCTATTACTTTGTATCAAATATTTGTGTTATTCATGCCTATAATAACATAAAATATTATTCATTAAAAATATTATTTCATAAGCGGAAGAATTAACTGACTTACGAAAGTAGGTAACATTTCTTGCAAATATAACTACAAATGTACAATAACATTAAGGTTTAACATCGAGAAACCTATTATACTATCTACTCACAATTTGTGGGAACATCGATATAATAAGTTTTAGGGATGGATTTTTTTATAGGAACATCTTCGAATTTTGTTATACAAAGGTCACTTATTGGTTTAATTGGTAAATCTATTGGATACGTCCCACCAAAAATAAGTGGTTTATATTGATATAATTCTGTGGAAGGATTCTGTGAAGAATTCGAATAAGACCACGCATCTACTGTATCACAAATAACATCTTTTCTTCGAATATGTGGAGCTATCCTCATAACTTGTTTGTCCTCAAAATTACAATATTGTTTTAAAGTTTGATTTCTATTTTCAGAAGCTACAGTTGTATTATTTTCTGAATTGGAATCAAATGTAGTAAGAGACTCAAAATTTACTCTACTAAATTGGATGTCTAAATCAGTAGTTGTCAATAAACTATTTTCATCTATATCATCAGAATTTTTGTCTTTATTATTTTCTATTTTTTTTTTAATTTTACACTTTAGGAATATGGGCGGCTGCGAAGAAGGCGGCTTCATGTATCTACCATCTAATTTCTTTATTTTATTTATGTCTTTTTGATGAATTGTATTATTTAATAAGATTCTCGGATAAGCTGCTGTGATTTTTGGGTATGTTATCATTTTTCGTGATTTCATGGATTTTTCATCTGAAGTAGTTGATCTAAAGGGATTAGAAACTGATGATATAATTGTATAAGTACTAATATTAGAATTGGAAGAATGAGGAGTGACGCATCGATTTGAATTTGTCAATACTTTGCGTCGTCGTAATGAGCTAATATTGGTGTCATCCAATGACCAATCAGGATCGAGATTACTATCCGCAGTAAGCATGTAATTACTTACTTCAAGGGTTGGTGTTTTTTGTTCCCTTTCCATCTGTCCATATGTAAGCATTAAAAAAAAAAACAAATAAAAAAAGTGTTATTTTTACATAAATATATAATTTATCATGAATATGAAACAATGAAAGAATGAAACGCAAAAAATTTAGCTAAATTGTGATATCATTTTTTGTGATTTCGTGGATGTTTCATGAATAAATATATAATAGTTGCGCTATTGAAATATGTAATGAAAATATGCATGAAATAACGGACAAAAAGATTAATTTAATATTAATATAATTAATTAAATTTAATATAATTAAAAATCATATATTATTGTCATAAATTGGAACAATTGATTTACCTTATAGTTCCATTTTTCCTGCTGCTGAGAATCATCAATGTCACCTTGTTTTGAAGGATATGTTGATTGTTGTTGCCAATTTGTGATGGTACTATCGTTTCTACCATGATTGTTTTGATAATAAGAGTTTTGATTCCGATAATTTTGCTGTTGAGATTGCTGGTATTGACAAGAGTCTTCATTATTTCCTGCATATTGCATATTTGGATCATATGTATCTGGTATATTCGATGGTAGAGATATCGGTTGCCATTCTGATTGTGTATCAGCCGTAGCTACTTCCATCATAGACGTTGGACCTTCTTTGTATTCGGATTGAATCGTACTCCATTGCTGTTGCTTAATTTCGTGCACTTCTTGATTTGGTATATTGTTGTATGATTCTTGTTTTGCTTGAAGAGCATAAACTTCATTTTCGATAATTTTTCCCTCCTACAATAAAATAAAGTAATTTTCTTTTTCTATATTTAAATAAGATAATATTTTTAATATTTATCCTCTATTGAAACTTACGTGGCATTTATCAACAATTTCAGTTAGATTATTGAACCAAGTTAAGGTTGTAGCTTCATCAACTGAATCTTTATAGATAGGATCATGATATCGAATCCTGTCTCCTAAATTGTATACTGCATTGATAAACGATTTCTTATATTTCGATGGCTCATTAAAAATATTTATTGCAATTTGTTCTATGTATAGTAAGGCTTTTTCTATTAATCCATAATCTACCATTTTTATTGCCAAATCAAATTTAAAAGTTTGTAGATCTACTAATGTAAACCCTGGTTCACTAAGATTTCTAGCATATTCATATATTTCCGTGAGCATAACAGCTTCCGTTGTAAAAAATGCATTGTAAGATTTATGATGGTTTGCACCGATTAATACAAGCTTTACGTTACTTGCGCCATAGATACCAAAATCAACTTGTGCAAGTATGTAACAAAAATGAGCTGCATAAATATCTCCTCGTGCAGAAAGTGTATCACCGAGAGTTGTAATTGAGCGACGATTAATTTCTGGATTAGCAGATGTGTTGGATATAATCATTGCTAAATGAGGTCTCCAATCATCCCATCGAAGATCTGACATAGCAGTAACAACAGCTGGTATACGGCCAGAATGAAGTTGATACAAAGTTTGCAATGGATCGTGATATGGTAAACTATTAGCAAAACGCGTCATTACAGATGCATGCGTACGTTTATCCAATTTGCTAGCTAAGAAAAGTGCATGTCCCCAAAGACCTTCATTCATTGCATATTCTGCATATTAAAAATGATAAAATTTAAAATATCTGAATATCATATAGTTGTTTAATGGCGTGAAAAATATAAAAAACGTATTTACCTAATGCTTCTTGAACTAATCCGTAAAGTAGTGTGTTTCTAAACTCATTTGTTATTTGTTCCATACTTTTCTGTGAAATACTTTCGATTTTTTCGGTTGTTGCTATACTATCTTGATTGCCTTGAACACCATCTGTAATTGAGGCACCCGATCTTTGAGATATTACCGATTCCCTTCTTTCTGAATCCTGCGATTTTTGTTTATCATAAGGAAACGCGTCTTTATTTCTAAGGAGTAATGCTGCTATATCAACGCCAACAACATTCTGAAAAAAATAAATATGATTAGGCAAAAGAAGGAAATTATATGCATATTTAAAAAAATATATCTTACTCCATTTTGTTGAATCAACATAATCATTAATTCATATAAAAGTATATACGAAGCACGATCGATCATCTCTTCGTTTGATGCCGCCTTTTTAATTTTATTTTCACAATATTCGATAATGGTTTTTTTATGAGTAACACCCCTGAATTTAAAAAAAGAGATATGGTATTAAAAATAATGCAAAGCTTATACAGAAAATGATTTAAAAAATATCACAAATATCACAAAATTACATGACATAATAATTAATATCCAAGCACGCATATATGCTATATATATTATTATTATTATATTATATAGTATTATTAAAAGCAATATAATTGCAAAATTAATTTTTTTATAAAAATAAATAAAACGTATCGCATCACAAACGAGAACGCGCATGCTTAAATTGCAAATATACTGATTACACTTGCTTAATTAGAGGACCAGGATAGGCACGTAAATCACGTGCTACAGGATCATGTGAAAGTAGATTGTCCAATTTAAAAATCTCTATTTTGGCTCTTTCACCATCAGAAGGATAAGCTGAGTGCACATGTATCAATGATCCAATAGAAAAACATCCTAGACGTAAAATGTTTTTTATAAAATCTCTCATAACAAATTCTACATAATTAGAATTACATAATAATAAATAAACTACATAATTTGATACTATACCATAAACATGTGAAATAGAAAATTTAGTTGGTGTCATTCGTGCAGAAGTAGCTATTGAATCTTCAAGCATTGACATATCAGCCAAAGTTCGTTTATCACCAGTTGTTCTGAAAAATATAATTTTTGTTGTTCAAATAATGAAAAATATAATTTTTGTTGTACATTTTTTATGTACAAATTAAAAAAATAGTCACAGGAAAAGCAAAACAACTACAAGAAAAGAAGACAGATTGTTTCTAATAAAATTATTGTAAATATTACAGATGTATATAAATATTTTAATATATTTTAATTTAACGGGTACTAGTGATGATTTTTTAATACTATAGTGAATACTAATGAGGAATTAAAACCATTTTAACATCTACATAAGAAAGATGTTTTAAACATCATGAAAATATTTTAACTAAATTACTTTGAACAATAAAAAGTTTGATATTTTCAATATTTCCAGCATGTTAAACCGAGAGAATTCTCTCGGTCTCACCTATTTAAATTTTGATAACTTGAATTCTGTCTTCGTGGACTTCTGGTCCATCCAGGATACCCGAAATACGGAACATATAATGCTTTGTTTGGCGAGAAGCATGCACTTGAATTTGTAAAAAATCTAATACATAATAAATATTATAAAAACTATAAAAGAACAGAACTAGAATTCTAATCGCTATTTTAATTTTTCTAACCTTTCATCGCAAGAACTACGCCCAGAATGGACACTTGCTCTGTCTTCGGGATAATTAACAACACCACGAGAAATATGTTGTTGCTGATGTTGGTTAGCATAATATTTATGATACCATTCTGAATAAGCAGCAGGATTTGTACGTCGTAAATTTTCAATATATGCATAATAGTTACTGGCATAATGAACATTATAATCGTATCCAGGATATCCTGTAATTTAAATTATTTTCATTATTGAAACAACAAAAATTTAGCTGTACAAGGAATATATGTACCATTATAAGGATAATACGGATCTCTCGATCGCATATAGTATTCTCGATCTCTGTCATTGTAAGAAGATCTACTGGATGGTCTAGATCTAAAAACAAAAAAAAAAGAAATCTTATATATACAAAACATCATGCTCAGATATCAATTATATGCTGAAAAAATATATACCCTCTACTATAAGGATCATCGTAATACTCTCTTCTATATGGATCTCTCATATCGTAATCATCGTATCGTCTTGTTCGTCTGTCATCTCTTCTTCTGTCGCGATCAAGATAATCGCGATCTCTACAATATCGTAAATCATAATCTCTAATGTCCCTTTCCCTACGTCGCATTCCATCATCAACTCTATCTTTTCTACGATCGTCAGATCGTCTTCTAATATCTCTATCATCTAAATCTTCTTTAGTTCTATTTCTCCTATCGATTTCTTCTCTCGCATGTCTATCTAGATCATCTCGACTATGATGTTTGCGATCATCTTCTCGGTAAGGAATTTCTCGACGATCAAATTCGTCACGAGTATTGTATGTTCGATCGCTTTCACCTCCACGACGACGATCATAATAATAATCATCATCATATTCCCGTTCACGATCATAACTGCAAATAAGTTAAAATAAAATCTTAAATCAAAACTCTTAACTTATAAATTTTATCAGGGTTTAATTATTATACATCTACTAACTATGCATTTTTTCGTTCGTATTCGTATCTTCGGCATTCTGAACTACTGTCACGTCGTCTTTCTCTGCTATCGTCTCTACTATTTCCAGAGCCTTCATCATCCTCATCTTCATATGAATCTCTACGATTCGATACACTAGAAATTCCTTGAGTCTCGCGCATTGATGCTCCCACAGCTTCTTCGCGTTTATTTCTTGAATCACTGGTTTGATCCTGTATAGCTGAAATGAAATATAAAAATTTAATAATAAGAAAAAAAATATTGAATTTATATAGATATAAAGTTTCCTCTCACTGCCTATAGAAGAAACTTCTTGAGAACCTGTAACTACTCTTCCATTAGATCTATCATCTGAAGACTGAGAAGCTTCATTTGGAGACGAACCGCCTGGTATTTGTCTAAGATTCTCATCCGTTTGCTGAACAAGATCTTCAGATTCATTACCTCTTCCAGGTATTTCCCGTATCTCATTTGGTTCTAACATAATTTGAGATTGTAACTGATACCTTTCTTCTCCAGACGGATCATTTCGTGATTGTTGCGGAGGCAGAGATCGTTCTCTACCAGATGGATCATTCCGACGTTCTATCGTGTCGGAATCCGATCGGGAAAGTAAAGAAACATTTCTTTCTTGTCCAGGTGGAACATCGCGTCGTTCTGATCTTTCTGGTATATTTCTTAGCTGAAGACTTTGTTCTTGACCAGATGGATCATTTCTTCTTGGATCAGATAATCTTTGACCAGATTGAACATATTGTTCCTGCCCAGTTGGATCATTCCTCCGTGGATCTATGGAGCTTGATTGTCCTGGTATTTCTCGTAAGAAAGGAATGTCATTAGGTACTTCATCATTTTCATCATCTTGACTTGACGGAGTTGGTTCATGTTCTTGATGAGAATCAGTTAACTCTCCAGTTTCCAAAAAAGTATTTCTATCATTTGACGCGAATTCATAATTATCTGGTACCTATAAAATAATTTTCATTTATCTTAATTGCATGAAAAAAGTTAATTCATTTCTCTTACCTGCTCTGTTTGAAGATGCGAATGAGATCGTGTTGGTTGCTGCACGGAAGGTACTTCAATATTATTTATTTCTTGTCTAAAATCACGTGTACTAATTACTTCCTTGGTAGAAATTGGAACTGGTTTAGGATCATTATCTAAAGTTTCTTTATTTATAGAATCTCTTGAGCCATATATATCGCGTTTTTGTAATGAGGGCGCGACTACTTCTAAATTTACAAATTCTGAAGGCTGTTGAATATTTTCATAGTTTTCTACGTTTTGTTCTATTTTCCATTCTTTAGGTGGGTGAACATTATCTTTCGAATACAATGTATTTTCTGTAGTGAGTGACAATGTATCCTGACTGTACCATTGATCATATCCACTTTGTGGTATATTATCTGTGGATTTAATATTTGTCATTTGATATGCATTAAGCACTGAATGGTCTTGACTAATAAGATCATCATTAGAATGAATATTTTCTGCACCAAGTGCAGTGCAATCTAAAGACAATCCAGATATATCATTAGGTGTAACACTAATATTGGAAATTGCACTTTGATTCCATCCATCTTCAGGATTAACAGATTGTACTTCTTTTGACTCATTTTGACTTTCTACATGTTTACTTACTTTAGTGCCAAGATTTAACTGTTCTAATTTTGTGGGCAACTCTTCTACTGAATTACTTTTACTCCATTCTATCGAATCATTTACCAAATTGAAATCATTGTTCTCTTGCATAGAAATATTTTCAGAACTTGCAGCAGTTGATATAGTTTCAGGAGTAGCAGTCATATTAAGTCGGGAATCAGACACATATGATTTAGCAATATTTGTTTTTATATACATATTAGAATCTTTAGAACTTACAGAATTTGGAATTGATGAAGGTATAGACCGTTTTCTTTCTTCTTGTTCTATATTAGACTCTACTGCTGGAATAACATTAGGATGAATATGATGGGATGGTATTGTACGATTTTGTTGCCAATCATTTGTAGTAACTGAACCAATTCTTGTTTCTTGTTTAACATTTTCTTCTACTAAATTATTATCTTGTTGTTTCTGTAGCCACTGAGCATTATTGTCATTCACTTTTTTCCATGGCTGTGAAATTTCAGTACTTGTTTTAGACCAAGAATTAAATTCATCATTGGTGCTATAAGTTTGTGTTACTTGCTGATTTTGATTTGGTACTTCAGATTCGCGATTTTGAGTGTTCCATTGGGAGGACATATTAATTTGATTAGACCAATTATTTGCATTATTTGTATCATTTATAGAATCTTCTTTATTCTCAGTAGAAGATAAAAGATACTGACCAGATTTAGTTTGTTGTATTGGTGGTGTATATTGATTTCCTATGCCATCAAAATTTTGTGCTTCTTTATCTAGCTTTAAATCTTGCCAATGTCCCAGTACAGCGCCTGGATTTTGCCAATTTTGTGAAGTTATTATATTTGTTTGATTAGATTTTATCCAATTACAATTACTACCAAGTAGAGTAGGACGTGATGCTTGCTCTTTTTGACTTTGTATACTTGATTTTTGTAAATATGAAACATTCTGAGATTGTTGATCACCTGTCCATTGAGGTTGATCAAAATTCATAGATCCAGATTTAATAGAATTTATTCGAGGTGGATACTGCTGATATTGCTGATATTGATTATAATTTGAATAAGATGCAAAAGAATCTGTATGATTAGAAACTGATGGTCTGTTCGCAATTGTTCCTGATGTACTTCTGTCTGATGTTGAATTCTGATTCAAAAGATCATTTTTATTACCATTAATATTTTGATAATAATGATCTTGAATAGAATTAGATATCAGTTGTCCTTGATTGGTACATGAAGGTACATAATGCTGTTGTTGTTGTTGTTGTTCTTGCTGTGGTAGTTGCTGTTGTTGATTATCTGTCTGTTTGTCAAAATCCCAATTCCATGAATTATTCCAAGGATCATTAGTTTGTTTTGGCTGATTTAATAAAGGAGATTGCTGTTGAGTGGAATCATTTGATGATACTTCTGATGACACTTTAGACATTGGATTCCATACATTTTGATTATGAGCTCCATAACCTAAACTATGATCTATCCTAGACCTAGCAGGTCTGGCTCTATAAGGATTCTACAAATATGTTAATACAAAAGTCAAATTTTGCTTAGCTTTTTACAACACTTTTAAACATGTTACTTACATTCATACCGCCTGTAAGACAGTAATGCCTGCTTTTTATTTAATATAAAACCTACAAGACAAAACAAAATTTACATATTATATTATGTTGTAGATTAAAAAATTATCATTTCATCACAATTTTATTGTTGTATTATAAGATTATGTATATATAAAAAATTATATATATATAAAAATCTATGAATATGTAACAATAAAGTTTTAATAAATGTTCAAAAAATAATTTGAAATATCATTGATATACCAGTAAGATATCATATATTACATATTATAGAAAACATACATATAAGTCAATATAAATCCTTCATTTTTTTCAAATCCTTCTGCTAATAAAGTAATATTTTACAAAATGATAATAAATTCAGAGCATTGATTAAAATTAACATTAGAATATAAAATCCATTGATTTTCTTTTTGGTAACAATTTGTTCTAGGAAGAAAAATTTCTTAAAATCCCTTTACTACAAAAACTCAAAATTGCTGTAATTATATAACAAAAATCATGAGAGAGTAGTTTTTGTAAAAAAATAACATGATTGGTGGATAAGAGAAAGTCAAAAGACAAGAAATTAAAAATGTCGTGTTAAAAGTTAGGATACCAGCTGTGATATCCAATATTAGCGTTCAGGGACCTCTCGTACGTTCACTCACCTAGCTATCGTATCTGGCACTGGTATCCGTACGCGAGTATAAGCATTATTTTCTCTCGCAAAACATTCGAATCGTTACTTCAGCAAGTCCAATCGTTTATAAAAGTAAATTAAATTTTGATAAAAGCAAAAGAGAAATCACACGAACGCGGACATTTTCCGAATCTACGAAGAAGATGTGGGTTAAGTACGTCACGAATTTTTCTCGTTCACTTTCCACGCGAGCAGAACCATAGACGCGCACAGCGCGGACGCGTTGATCTCAAACGTCAAAAAGATCTCCAATATAATCTCGTTAGATGGCATTGCAAAATTTAAAATTTTTTTTAGAAAATACAAAAATACGAAAACCCATAGATTTTTATACAATAACTAACTAATAAAGTTTTGAAATAATAACTCTTATGAATTTAGTACTGAGAGTTTAATCTCAGAATATAAAAATATCCTAGGTATT